TGGACGAGGAGAAGGCTGAGGCTTGCCAGGAGCAACAAAGTCTTAATTAGGCCTTATCAAAAGTTTGCCTTCCGACTGCATAATATAAGAGAGGACACCAGTTCAGGCACCTTGTAGTTGTTGCCTTCTTCGGATTAGGTAAAAAGAGATGAAGTTCAAAGGAGTTCAACATCCACTTGTTCATTGTGGCTATTTTCTTCGTATATTTGATATATCTTTTTTATATATTTCATTAGACTTATTTCATATTTATAAGTGTTTTTAATGGATGAATTGAATTATTTTAGTGGACTATATATACTAGTTTTGATTCAAATTTTTTGTTAGTATTGATATTTATTTTTTCACTTTTACGACATACTTTCTTGCATAGATCATATCTTAAGCTTCTGAACTTGAAATTAAATATTTTTGGTGTCTTTCAAAAGATAAGATACAATCTTACAACTTCTCTTTTTAAAGCTGTAACCGTTAGAACATCTCAAAGTCCAAAAATGTGTCATAAATTTTTGTCCTTGCACTTGGCATTGAGTTTTCTTTAGAGAATTATTTTAGAAATAGCTTAGTGTTGTTATTGGATGATTAGTGGGTCGAGCATATAATTAATCTTATCCAACTCACTAATTTAATCTATTAATAGTTGTAGAGATACTTGCATTGTTCACTTTTATCTCATTTTTAAATTTATAGTTTATTGTGTTAGTATATGTAAATAATTATTGATCTCATTATATCATAACTATTTTAATTTATATGTAGAGAAAATATAAATATTATAAATTAATTAGTATTTTAGCATAATGTATTGTAAGTTTTTATTTTATATAAGTACAAAATATAATAAATAATTTTTTAATATTTTAATTATACTATAACTAAAACTTGTGATAAATAAAATGTTTTAAACACAGATTATATTTTAAATAAAATAAACATTTTTTTGAATATTTAAATTATACTATAATTAAAATTTATAATAAATAAATATTTTTTAACGTTATGTTTATTGCATCAACTAAAAGATTAAATCAAAATTTTAATTATACAAATAAAAATTTTTGTCTATGATTTTATTTTATTTTCTGTTTTTTATGAATAGAAGTAAATTCAAAAGTATCAAATAGATTAAAAGTTGAAATATAATTTAAATATGTGTGGAAGAAATATTAAGTATCGGTGTAATTAGCATATTAAAATTAGAAACTTAATTAAAAGAATTTAAAGTAAAATAAATAAAAAAGACAATTAATACATATAATAAAAATGTCATAAACTATAAGAATTGTAACAACGTTAGCAGATGGATGATTTAATTACAAGATTTATAAACTATAAATTTTTATTTTAAAAATGGTAAGGGTCATTTTAAAATATTTTTAATTATAAGACTTAATTAAAATTTTGAAAGAATTTTAAGGACTTATTGATTAATTTAACTTAAATTTTATAATTTATATCTTATTGCCTAAGACATTTTCTAAACTCTAAACTTTCAACTAACCAAATAAACTTCGTAATATCATATTTTAAAATTTTAATTTATATTTTTCATTCTTTAACTTATGTGTTAATTTTCTAAAAGTGGTTTTTTAAATTATACCAACTTTTTGAAAAACAATTAGCTCACCCTTAACCTTTTGAAGTGGTGACTCACGGAAGAACTTGTGTACTATATAAGAGTATTCATAATTTCATATAATGAAAATAAGTCAAGTTGATGCTTGATCTAAACGAGATTTTTTTTTATTAAAAAAATAAATATCTATAACAATAATTTATTAGAGTCACATATATTTAACTGTATTCGTAACTATATATCCCAACCTTTTAATCTCAATTTCTCAAAATGAATTTTGGTATAATCCCAATATTATTGTTACAATTTTCTTATATATATATATATATATATATAATTTATTTATTTATTTCTAGTTATAAATTTAAAATTTTAAAATTAATTTAATTAAGTTAAATTTGGGCCTAATGCAGATTTCTTTGTCACTATTTTATGTGCCATAAATACAAAAATTAAAATGGATGTGAAGTAGAGGGATTGGAGATCCATGGTAGAAACAAAACTTAGATGAAGGTTATCAATTTTACTGTGTGTTTTTTATAAGAATTGAGTTCTCGCTAATCTGTTTTTCATCAAGATCTTTGTCAGCAATCTCTAAATATGAATGATAACTTGTCTACTTCATGGTTTTTCGAGCGAGATTGGATACCTGGGAAAGAGACTCCAAATATTAATTAAGTTAATCAATGTATTTTTTAATCTAGTGTATGATAGCAATGTCGAGTCATTATCAAATAAAACTAGGTTTCTAAAAAAAATTGTAATATAGAAAACTAACCTAGGTCATCTCTGAAGGACACAAGTTCATTCTGTTTCCAATTTTTTTATCATGTAATGTAATTGAGTTAGGTTTTGGGGGGATTTTATTTCAAACAAATTGTAACGACAATATAGAAAAGAGAATCTCAACACAGAATTTCCATATTATCAAATATTGGTTCAAGGTTTTAATTCCTATGGTATAATTTTCATTGTTCACAACAAATACGAATTCTTAACCAACCTAAGTCAATACGAAATTAATTAATACAGAGATCTAAATCTAGATTATGAATTTCATTAAAACAAGATCTGCAATCGCAAAATCAAGGTTTCAACAAATTCAAGAACAATAATCAAATTGAATTAGGTTGATTTAGGTTATTTCAAATATGAAATTGCATCTTCTCATTTATGTTTATGATTCAAAATGAAAATTCAATATCATAAAAAATGAAATTATCATAAACAAAAAAGAGAAGAGGAAGAGAGAATTCATTCAATAAAAATTAGGAACTCAAATTTACCGTAGTTCATGAAACCTTAAACCGATTGATGGATTAGCCTCGCTTCGTAATCATGTTGCTTCGGCCAATTTCAGTAGAGAAGACTGAAATTTTGTGTGTGTGTGTGAGAGAGAGAGAGATTTTGTGAGAGAAAGAGAGAAGAGAAGACAGAATTTGAAAGAAACTTCTTGAGCAAGAATTCCCAAAGTACAAAGTTCATGCCAAGAGTCATTACATGAATTAAAGACAAAGTAATGGGCCTAAACTAAGTGTCCAGCCCACTAATTACATTCATAAAGCCTAATTAACTACAACTAAACAGTTTCAAGACAAGCTGAAAACTTCAATGCAGGGCTACGAGCTTGAGGCGCAATTTTGTGCTTGAAAATGTCCAAATTGGGTTTTTCTCTCAACGTAGAAGTTGTATATCTCCTTCTTATCTTTCTAAGGACACCAAGTTTGCCCAATTTTGAGTTGTATAGATCCATATATGGCTTGCACAAGAAATTGTGTCAAAAGAGAAAATTATTACGAAAATTTAGTAAAATTTACAACTAAATCCTAAATGACTCACTAAAACAAATCTAAACTATAATATATGAATATATGATACTAAAAGAAATCAAATAGGGCAAAAACATATAAAGAAAGATGTACTAAAATATGACTATCAGTGTATATAAGAGTACCTTGTATTTTGGTAACTGTCATTCAGTAATTGCTCTCTTTGTGATTTCATACATGTCCATAAATTGGTTAAAATTATTTCATTGATTAGCTAATTGTTTCCTTCACTTTATAGATAGACTAGTTTGACCTTATGGTTGGTTGATCCAACCATATGAGTTGGCAATCTTATCCTTATAGGTCAGCAACTCCAACCTTATAAGTTGGTTAGTTTGATCTCATAGGTTGGCTAGCGCTAGTACACAAACCCCTCAAGTATGGTGTTCTACGACTTGGTGCATTTGGAGACTTACAAAACCTCTTTGTTTTTCAAGGTGGACACTTAGGCAAGGACAAGGTGCTCCAAGATATTCTTTTCTCTTCTTGATCTTGGTCGTATACATTGCAGAAGCATGTCCATTATTCATCCTCACAATGGTGCAGTAATCCAAGGCAATGCATACATAAAAGGAATTGCTAGTTGTAACAAGTTGGTGAATTAATTAAATGTTATTAGGATGTGATGCATGATATGGTGTATAACATATGAAGTAGGATTGCAAATATATTCTCTTAGTTATGATTTGGCAGGGGAGTTTTTTTCCCTACTTTAAGGGAAAGATGATACTATAACCACTTTTTTTTTAATAGTGACTTGTATGGATTGGATATCCCTTGTATCATATATCTTCTTTCTTATTGTGTTTATATATATATATATATATGAGGAGGGATCCTTTTATTCTAGGAGTAAGTCTACCTAGATTTACTCCGTTCAATAACTCATGTTCTACATCAAATTTTAACGATCCAAGCGTTCAATTTAAAGTTCTTAATGCATAAATCAAATCTGCAAATTTTTAGAAAATTTGAAAATCATTTGATACTTCATTTCATTAATTCAAATTGACGGATATAATCATAAAATTATTTTATTCATTGATTCGAATTAATGAAATGAAATATCAAATAATTTTCAAATTTTCTAAAAATTTGCAGATTTGATTTATGTATTAAGAACTTTAAATTGAACGGTTGGATCGTTGAAATTTAATGTAAAACATGAGTTATTGAATGAAGTAAGTTTAGGTAGACTTACTTTTGGAATAAAAGATCCCTCCTCTCTCTCTCTCTCTATATATATATATATATATATTACTTTTTTGTTATAAAAAAAATACTTAAAGGACTAAAAATGGTATATCTTTTAATTAGAAAATTTAAAAGTAAAACGATTTTTTTGAGAGACTAAATTGATCTTAAAAAATTATAGAGAGATTAAAAACATATTTTTTTTTACTGAGAAAAATATTTTATCTTATAAATAATTAGTCTTTTTATTAATAATGATAAAAAAAATTAATAAATTATACGGTTACAAGAAATCGACCCATTTGCTAACGATACCTATCTATGTAATAAATATACATATATATGACCAAATTATTAGCTAGATTGATATAACCATTGTGACGACAACATACAGAGCAATATATATAATGTCTACAAGCCCATCTTATTGTTAACATATATATGGAAATCACTATGATTAGCAGTGAATAGGTATCTGATGAAAGTAATACCCTACTCTTTCTTTGGATCATACACATAAAAACAAACACTTCCTTGTCCAAAACAACTAAAATTTGATGTACAGACTAGATTGAAAAACTTAAAAGCTAGACAGCAAGTTATTATTGTCAACTCCAAGCCATGATATTCCGCAGGAAAAAGCCCGGAAATTTCTGTCTACCATACGCGGATAACATTAATTAAGCCACTTCATTCACTTCCTTCTATTGCTCTGCAACTCATCACAATCCGATAGATACTATCCACATTAGAGTATGTATACACACTATGAATGAGAAAAGAGAGAGACTTAAGATGAGAATAAAAATGAAGTGTGAAAAAATGGTTCAAACACGCACATATATGAAAGCTATTCACATGGATTGAATTTCATGTAAGTGTGTCAATATGTATATACAAGACAAAACTTTGACACACAGTTCCTTAAATATAATTGATTTATCTTAATATATGCATAAATGTGTATTAATAATGAGATATATATTAAATACAAATGTATATTATTTAAGGTAAATCTTCAATTATGATTGAAGAACAATAATCACACCTAAAAAACTGCTTCTAAATTTTGTTTGTATATATATCCCAAATATCAAACTTTCATAGAATCTTCAAATTAGCTAAGAAAAAGATAATCCATGCATGTCTTGAATGGAATATATAGCATGCTTATATTAGCTTTAAATATGTAATCTATAAAGAGAGATATGATAATTAGAAATAGCAATATATACCATTGATTAATGTTATGGTACTGAGTCTTGAATATTGGGCTGTGCGAGTTGAAGATAAGGGTACTGAAGGTGTGGAAGCACAGGGGAAGCAAGTTGAAGGATGCTTCCAGCAGGTTGCTCTTCAAAGAATGGGAAGTGATCCATTACATGCACTGGTTTGCTTGCTTCCACTGTAGCCTTTTGAAACTCCAACACTGCCCGCTGCTCCTCATCATGAATCTTATTTACCAAGTGTTAACAAACACAATATATATATTACTTCTGCTCAAATTAATTTCTTAAGCGTAAAAAAAAATGAGAATAAAAATCAAAATTCGTTTCTCTATAAATTAAAATGAACTTATGCATAAGTTAAAAATAAAAATTTAGAAAAACTAATAAAAAAAACTTCAACAAATTAATTTATACATAAACTAATTTTAACTTATAAAAAAATATATATTAAGTTTTTCTCTAATAAGTTTTTGTTTTTGGAGTAGTTTACCAAAAACATGTTATTAAGCTGGAATATGATTAGTTTAATGTGCCAATCAATAATCCTAACGCGGCACTTATATTAGTTCTGTACATGTTCTTACCCAATTGGACAAATTGTTGTTTTCCTCTTCCAAGATCCTTTCCTGAATTATAAGAAGCATGTATAGAATAATTATGGATGATGTTTGACGTCTTTCGAAAATTAATAGGTGAAAGCTAGAGAGTTATTATATGCGTCACCTTCCTTCGCAGATTCTCCATTTGCTGTTGCAAGAGCTCATTCTGCATGGAAAGTCATGTCACAAACAATTAGTGGGAAGATGGAACCATGAAAATAATTGGATAAATTACAAACAGTCCTTTATATATGTTTCACTTGTTTTGACTCTCAGTTAAGTGCATTTTGTAACAAAAGTTGGGTTGGGATGAAAAATTATTATATAAATTTTCCAAGTTTTACAATATTCCATAAGTAAAGCTGAAAATCAATTTGACAATCTTTCTTTTCTTAAAGGAGGTAAATAAATAGTGTCTATAAAAACTAAAAATGACGGGAACATGAAATGAAGTATTTATTATTGAACTCAAATTTTCCCTGTGCTAGCTCCTTTTCTACTCCTCTACTTAAAAGTAAGTTTAAAAAAAAAACTAACAAATAAGAGAAAAATGTTATTCTTTTTAATGACGTATTTTCTTTTAATTGAAGAAATGAGAGAGCGGACAAAAAGAAAAAAGAAAAATAGAAGATTTTAATCCATTCATTACCCAAAATACTTTACAGATATATATAAGTATTAATTTTAAATTAATCAGTGAACACCCTACATCGAGTTAATAGTAACCTGATAAATGCAATAGATTTGTAAGAACAGGGGGAGACATATAGTGAATGGAAACTAAATTTGTTGACAATAATTAATAAATATTACCAAGAAGGCTAGCTAAGAGGAAAAACAAAGACCAATATGATATTTTAATGAAATAATTAATTTGACATTCATCACATATATTGTCAATTTTCATTAAACATTTTGATAAAAATGTCTGGATCCTTTCATTTTAACATATACTACTTCTGGCTCGATCGATCAAGTGTTGAAAAGGATAGAAAAAAAAATGTTAATTAAGAAGATGAAATGGATTAATTAGAAGGGAACAGGTACCTGACGGTTTCTAACTTTTGCCACAGAGTTCTCCAATTCTTGTTCAAGCTTAGACAAGTCTTCATATTGTAAACACCCCATGTCCTCTCCAAGATAACGTTGAATTCCTAATTCAAGACGGAGAGTTTCCTGCCTCAGCATTGCCATGTCATGGAATAGTTCTTCCTATAAAATATTTTACAATTAAGTTATGTCTAATCATCTAGATTCAATTAATTTATCACAACATATTAACGAAAATTAAGCACGTGAGCCTCATACTCGGGGATGATCACGTTCAGGTATGCGAGCTCCTGTTGATCTCTGGTACTTCTCTATGATCTGCTCCATCCTGTTCAGAAACATTTCATGTTAACTATTTAACACATTAATAAAGTCCAAGATATGTGCAAAAATTAATTCACTTAATATTTTCAGAAAATAAAATAAAATTGTGTACGTCCATCACTATATATGATTAACATCTTGGTTCTCCCAAGTAATTACAGGATCAAAGTATTAATATCTAAAGTGTGAATGTAAAAGTACTAAACAGGCAAGTGATCATGAATTTGATTTCATGAACATTTGTTCAGCCCAGAAAAATTAATGCATGGTTGACACATGAATGAAAGTTAAAGTTAGAGTTTAAAGTACAGTGGTTGAAAACGAAATCTAAAACCCACCACATGTCATACTGAAAAAAAGAATTATGGCTTTCACTGATCAGATCTATAATCATAATTCATAATGTCAGAAATGAACATGAAACTGCTTCCAAGTCTAGAAAGCACTTAAGTGGGTCAACCTTACGTATGAGAATGAAACATGATATGGACCTAAAACCAACAAAATCCTAAAAAGTAATTAACACAAAAAATGGAAACCCTTTAAGAAGAATGCATATAGAAATTATATTAAATTTTAGTTGAGGAATAGATCAAAGTTTAAGAAGCAAGGGATCTGAGAAATGAAAGTGTAGGCATGACCTGAAGGGTTCAGTGCACCAATCCCACATCTTCCCAGTGCTGGAGAAGATGATAAGTCCGATCTGTGCATCACAAAGCACAGAAAGTTCCTTTGTCTTCTTAAAGAGACCACCTCTTCTTTTCGAGAATGTTACTTGCCTTGTGGTCGTGTTCTCGATCCTCTTTATCTCAATCTTTCCACGTCCCATGATCTCACAAACCCTACCACAATTTCCCTTGATCCCTCTATATTTTACCACATAAAGAAACTAATTCAAATATATACATATATAAACACTTTGAATGATCCTAAAAAAAATTAAAAAAACATATATAAACACTTCCAATTTCAACCGGGAACAACCAGCAAATTTAAAAAAAAAAAAAAAAATGGTGACTATTCTATAGCTGTTACCTGCTATACTTACTGATAACTAAAAGTAAGTAACTAGAGTGCAGAGGTTGGTTTTGGAGAAAAATTGTGTGTGTGGCTAGAAAAGAAAATTGAAAAACGCAGAAGTTTCTTGATTAGGGCTTAGGTTGTAAAGTAAAAGGTTGAAAAAGGAGACGCCATTAAAGAAAGAAGGTGGAGGAGGAGAGGATGAGAAGATGTGTTGAATTCAACAACTTGATACCTCGGATATTAACTTTCTTTCCTTGTAGAATCAGAGCTTGAGAAATATCACACTAGCTTCCTATATTTATACACCAAGAAATTATAAAGGCTATTTGTGATCCGAAACTAGCACATGAATTCTTGTATTTGGCATGAAAAAGTAGAGAGGGTAGTAACGTCATTTTGCGTTGGTGATAAACGCGGTAGCTGAGCCTGAGGCCAATTTGCATGCAGGAAGGGCATTTCAGTAATATTATCCAAAGGGTAGGGCCTCTAGCTAGTGTCATATCAGAAGAGTTGTTGCAAACCAAACCACTATTATTCCTCGGTCCAAAGCGAAATCTGAACTTTGCCACAATGGGCAAAAGGTGAGAATATTAAGGTTACTATAAATGGGTGAAGACTAATTTAGAAACGACAAAGAATCACAATTCCTGCGCACAACCTTCATTGCCACATGTGATTCTATTAACTGCCTGCCTCGTGTGGACATTTCAAAATCAATATAATTTTCACAATTTCTATGGTTTAATAAACTTGTCGTGCCTTCTTTATCATATTATTATTCTCACCACTCGTATTTGCAACTGATTTGGATGATTGAGAAGCATTATTTATTTATTTAAATAATATTTTAGCCCTTTTTTATCCTTTTCTTTACATTCGTTTTTTGTTTAATTCTGGTGTCATCAATTGTTAGAGACCATTAATTTGACATTTTTAAACTTAAGTTCTAAGTAGTGATCGAATTATGAATAACTTCGATTCAACGATATTGTTATATAACAATCGATGATTCGTCATGAATATTAAAAAAAATTGTAATGAAAAGTTTTGGCAAGAAACAAAAAGATGAAGCTATATATAAACTAGTAAAAAATATGGGAATTCGATGTATATATATATATATATATATATATATATTGAATCACTCAATAATGCAAGAAAAAGATTGCTACATCATATTGATTTTTCTTTCTAAATTAAATACCAATATGATGAATCAAGGATTAACTCGTATAAGTTGGTCCGAATCTTTCTCGTAGGGAACCAAGGAGACATTATATTTATTTGAAGGTTTCATTTAAGTTCAACTCAATTAATTATATTTTTCTTTGTTTTTCTCCTTTAATAAATTTGTGTAATATTCATAAATTTGATTTGTATACCCCATTTTAATTTGTTTAAACCCTGTACATATATAGTCATCCAACCATATATGTTGAAATCATTTTTTCAAAAATAAAGGGTGAGTTAAGTTTCTTCTGACAATTAAGATGAACTCAGTTAATAATCACACGTCATGCCATTGGTACCACATATATAGAAACAATGAGTACTAACTTCAGAATGCACATGCATGATCCCCCCATGGCCCACGTGGTTCTCTTTCTGCTCATAGTTTCTTTCTCACATACTATTCTCTCTTTTATTTTGTTTTTCAACCTCAGTTTTTCTATCAACGTGTCTGTTGGATCAATCATTAATCACTATTAGACCAAGATTAATTGTTGACAAAAAAAAAAAAAAATTGGCTCCCGCGAATTGGGTATGCATGGTAGCTTACTCGTCAATTGAGTATCTAAGTTTGGTTCAATGGCAGGAGTTGCGTTTGATCTACAAAGTGGTGATAGATCTATATATCCGATGACTACAACATAAAGAATTTTTAGTATTATTTGAAAAATATTATCTAATTGTATATAAATGTTATATCTGAATATGGTTCAATGACAAGAGTTGTGTTTGATCTACAAAATGGTGATAAATCTATATATCTGATCACTACAACACAAAGAGTTTTTAGCATCATTTAAAAAATATTACCTAATTGTATATAAATGTTACTTAATTTGCTTTTGTAAGATATTATCAAATGTTGTATATAATCTATGTTGCTAAAGACTTTTAATAACATTTTTATATAATTAGGCAATATTTTTCAAATGTTATCAAAGTGATATTTTTGTAATATTTTAATGATGTTGCTAAGTTTTTGTTAACTTTATAAAATGATAATTAATTTTAACTTAGATATTATTATCAATTATTATATTTTTATTCTTCCTAAACTCCTAAGAGTTCTTTAAGAGAAGGTTGAAGACATTTTAATTAGTCACAACTAATTAATTATATATCAAATATCAAAGTTCATTTATCTTAAGTATAACTATGTGCTTATATATACTTTTATGAGTCATTCATTTATTCGATATGAGACTTTGATTATGGGTAACAATTAGAAATGAGAGAAATTTTTTTTAATCGATGTGGAACTTTGATTTTAGAAACAATTAAAGAGAATAATGTTGAGATAAAAAAAATATATTACTTATATATGTAGTAACACTTTTCAAAAAAAAAATGTTGCAAAATAACCTATGTAACATTTTTCTACTTGATATAGGACTTTGATTTTGAAAATTATTGGAAAGAATAGATTAAAATAAAAAATATTACTATATTTATAGTAACATTTTTCAAAAAAAGTTACAAAATAACTTATTTATTCAATATATAGTAACATTTTAATAAACGTAAGAAAGAAAATGTTGCTAAAGAATTAAAATGTAGTGGTGCATGTATATAGTTTTGTAATTTGTTGATCCATTGATCTGTGTAATTTCTTGATCAGTGTAATTCAATACTGTTTAATTTCTTTAAGTTTGATCCTGAAAGCTATATAATTGATATTCTCAACATTTTTTTTCATCTACTTATATTAAATGTACGTATAATCAATTCAATTAGGGAAAGGCCAATGTCAAATACTGTGCATCACGAGTTGGCTTGTGGCAAGTCGAGTTGTAAGTGAATCAGACCAAATTTTCCTTATAACTAAAACGAGTCAAAATTTTCTAGCCTAACACGACTCAAACCTGTGGTGGGCTAGGTTGACTCATGATTTTTAACCCACTTTGACAACTCTAGGCATGGAGATGACCACGTCAGGTGTAGGGA